CCCGAAGCAGACAGACACTGACAAACATTATTTGCACCATAATGAGAAAAAGAGCTCGATCTTTTTTTGTTTTGTTTTGTTCTGTTCTCGTCTTCGAAGGACTTCTCTCAGCCTCAGGAGGGCTTGGACAGGACAGCCCCTGCCCCCGCCCCCGCCCTCGAAAGCATATGCGTACCCTTGTTATGTGACTAAAAGGCAAATCTGAAATACTTGAAAGGAAGGCATTGTCTCTCTTAACAAAATGTATGCTCGGTGAAAGTAAAGATTTATTCTTTGCCAGATTAAAAAGAAAACCGTTGTGGGGCTTTGTGGATTTGCAGTTTTAGACTGACACCTTAGTTATTTCCATTTTTTAAAAAAGGCATTGGCGTTTCAATGCATTGCCATTGGGGGGGGGAAATCCCATTTGGCACAATACATATTTTGGTGGGTGTGCTTTACCTTTCCCCAACTCTTAGAATTAGATTAGATCCCCCCCCCCTGTGATTTTTTTTCTCTCGCCAGTCTGAGGCAGGGGGAGTGCGGAGGGGGGGGGGAAAGGAAGAGTGAAATTGGCAGAAGGAAGCCTAGAGGGGTCAAAGCTATTTGTCCTTTAAAAGAACAACGTTCCATTGTCAGTTGCTGAATTGTGACCACACCGGCGAAATTAGCAAGTGATGTATATGCAGGGGGAGCTTTTTTTCAACGTGTCGGCTGCCGAGGATTCTCAGCCCAGAGACGGTGCGCCTGCCAAACGCTAACAAGCCGCCAAGGGAAGAGATTAAGTGACAGGGAGAGCAGAGCTCGCTCCTTCCCGCAATCACTGGGCTGCAAATTAAAGGCAAGGAGGAACTTTCCTCTCCTTCCTGGTTCACCTTCAGTTCTCCCATTGCCTTTCCCCGCCGGCGCTTCTTTGCCTGCCGATTTACACCAGCTCCTTCCTTATACTGGTCTGTATATTTTCCTTCTCCCTGTAAGTGTCTGCGGCCGTTGAGGTGTCCCCCCCCCCCAATCTACGAGCAGGCGCACTATCCACACACACAGGCAGTCTCAACTGGAAGGTAATGCTCCTGGGGTAACTACCATTTTGAGAGGGGTATCCGGAGTGGAGTCCATCTCTCTCTCTCTCTCTCTCCCTCCCTCTCTCTCTCTCACACACACACACCGATTGCACACGTCTCCCTCCTCCATAAACTGGACCGGTAAATTCCTTTTTATCTACAATGGTTCAGCTAGCCACTTCACCCAGACCTACTCAGCATTGTTTGTCACCATATTAGAAAGAAAAGAAAAAGCTAGAGGCGTGTCAAACAAGGTGTGAGATTTAAAAACAAGAAACCGAGAAAGAAAACGTGCTTGAATGTTATTTATTTACTTGCTGATTGACTTCTTGGAGCTTCAGACATGTCCAAGCTACATTCTAGTTAACTCCTCACGGCAATAAGGGAAGGGGGGAGGTGAAGAGGGAGAATGGACATATCAGCTGGCCGACTTCTCCTTAGATCTTCGAAGGTGCCGGGGGCTTCATATTTAACACGCCAAGTCCAAGAATCCATTAAACCGGAGTCCACCAAATGCATTCCATTTATTTATTTAGAAAATGCATATGCCTCTTCTCCAGAGAATCTGGCGAGATTTAAATTGGGGTTGTGCATATAGGAATTGACATCCAGGGAATTTTTAAAAATCTAAATAATTGTAAGATGGTACAAAAAGCGTTTGCTGCATTGATGGCAATGGAATTCCATGCTGCTTTCCTTCCAAGTTCCAAAGGTTAAATGGTTCCAGGATGGCCCTTTATCTTTAAACTTTGGATCACAACCCTTGTAGTGTCGTGACAGTTCACCTGCGCATGCCCTGTTGAAGTGAGGAAAGCAAAACCAATCGGGGCCCCTCAGGCCAGCGCTCTGCTGGGAGTCACTTCCAGGAGGGTCTGAGCAGCAGAACTTCCCTGAAGGTTGTACCCTGCGGACCACTGGGGAGCAAAGCTTGTTTCTGCACGAATTATTCTCTGTCTGAAGAAGGAGAAAGGTGGCTCTTGTAAAAAATATGGTATTCCCGTTTTTTTAAAACAACCCCTTGAAATGTGTTCATCTCTTGAGAGGTTAGGTTCTAAACGTGGAACACATACCCCCGTTCAAAACCGAGTGGGGGGGGAGAGAGAGTTTTTGTAAACCCAGTCCTTTTGATATTACTGTTTAGGGATCCCAATGTATTATAAATGAATAAAGAAACAGTAAGATACCCTTAGTGACCATAAACTGCAATAAAATCTCATTAAGATCCCAGCCACCCTATCTGGAGGTAAATTTCCTTGAAATCCAGGTGTTTGTTGGGGAAGAAACCCCTCTGAAAAAGAAAAGGGGGTGAACAACTTCCCCTTTGACCCTGTTGAACAAGCATAAAGAACAACCTTACCACGGTTAGCCTGACGCCTTATTGACACAGGTCATAGTATAAACAAAAATACATATTTTCTCCAGCTTGGGGTGTTGTTGCTGCTGGTTAGTTGGTGTGGGGTGTGGGGTGGGGATGTGGTTTGGCAGTTCCACAACTGTGTGGTAGCCCATTGGCCTGTTGGCTTCCAAGGGCTTTTCTTTAGCTCAAAGAAGAATGGCTTCTAAGTCGGAGCCTATCGAAGTCTCGGCCAAAGACGCTCATCGGAACAGACTGCAGATTGTCTTCTTCCAGATCAGTGTAGTTCTATTTAAATGCATGCGAATTTACACCCAAGTAAATTTAGTTGGGGAGAGGAGTCCAAGCACATTGACTTGGATGTTTGGTGGTTCCACAGAAAGCAAGCGTGCGGAGAATCCGGGCGACAAGCTTGCGCTGGAATGCAAGCACATCCTTCAGACTTAAGTATCTCAGAAAGTCATGTTAAAAAGAGATGAAGGATGCAAGCTTAGGTACATTTAGGTACCGGAATGTTAGGTACTTAAATGTTCCATTGACAGCAGTGGACCTCAGCTCTGAGTTAGCTCGGGTGGGACTGGGAAGGATGTAGGCTGTTGGAGAAGCCTGCAAGACCACTGAGATCTTCTCCAGGAACAAACTCCATACCTCCATCTCGTTCTACAAAGAAGATTTAGGTATTTATCTCTGGTCGGTCATTCCTATTCGTGTCTACTCAGAAATGTCCAACTACATCCCAAAGGGCTTCTCTTCTCAGGACGGTGTCTTTGGGAATGGTTTGATAGGATGTCAGCTCGGTGGATTTAGACAGGTGCAACCCGGCTTAGGGAGGCCCTGAAAACGGCCAACTAAGAAAAAAAAAATCTGGCAAGTGACGATGTGGCCGTGATCATGTCTTGATCACAGCCACAAACCCCACGTGCTTAGAGGCGTGCCTGGGAAGGTACCCCCCCCCTCCGAAGAAGAAGCCCCCCATCCAGAATCACTTCTGAAGCCGCTCATAGAAAAGGGATTTAAAACAAGGGAGGCAGACTTTTAAAAACGAATGTCACTTCCCGACGAAATTGATGGAGGTGTTCGACGTTGGGCGATCATTTCAGAGACAAAGCCCCGGATGCTGCTGCGGCGGCGGAGTTTGACACCATCGGGAAGGAGGTTCTCTCCCCCCAGACACCCCCCCCGCCTCTGATTCCAGCCCTCCCACCATCCACGCCATCCCGCTCTCTCAACTGTCCCGTTGGGAGCCATTGTCTTTCAAATGGGCTTTCTTTGGCGGATCCCGCAGCCCAGAGATGCGAGTGAATTTTCCCCGCGACTCGGTCATAGGGCAGAGATTGCCTGCGACAGGTAAATAGGCTGCGGGGTTGCGGTAATGCCAAGCGTATTTTCAGTTAATAGGGAGGGAAAATGAGGTGTCTGGAGCGATATTGGAAAGTACAAGATCGATGATCCGTCCTCGTGTCCAATCAGCAGCCTTTAATTGACTGTATTTTCTAGGTAATTGAGCCACTCTGCCTCCAAATTGAAGTGGAAGATATAACAATACATCTTGCTGGGTGGAATTACTCATTACTTCATAATGAAATTTTCCTTTTGCTATGGAGTGGGTGGGTTGTTGCTTAAAAAAAAACCACCCCAAAACAAAAAACACCCCCCCCACCACCAACCCCCACCATCTGGTAATAGCTCGATGGAAGAAAATGCTCGAAGGAGGAGGGGGAGAGAAAAAGATGTGCAAGGGCTGAGAAAAATTAGGGGAGGGATGGGAGCCAAACCTCGGCGCAATCGATGGCGCGCATTCCATAGACGTTGGTTCGTGGCCTTCCCTATAGGAGGCCGAAGGAAAGGAGGGAGAAGATCCTGGGGCCTGCCGGGAAAGCTCTCCTCCCGCCGACGTCCGGGCGGAAAGTCGAGTCCCGTCCAGGGGTTTGCCCACACAGGCTGCGACGGAGGGCATCCGCGTCAGGCGGCGGCCCCTCCCCCCCGTCAGCCGCCAGCCCCAGCCCCGGTTGCCTCCCGCCGGCCCCTGCGCGGTGCCGCTTCCCATCCAGCCCAATTCGGCTCCAACAGGCCGGCGGCGGGTTGTTAGCGTGTGATTGATTGCCTTATTAAAGCGTGTTCTTGTAAGTGTGACCGAACGGATTGCATTGCATATGTTTGGAATAATGCTCATTTTAAGCAACTGAAGGAAGGGAGATGAGCTCTGGAGAGAGGGTTGGCACTAAATGATCCCACTGAGCGGGCCTGGAACTCGGGCATTAAATCGCTCCGTTACCGGCAAAGCAGTTCATCCTTCTTCTCTTCTGCAGGAGGCCGGCCATCTTCGGGGC